ACGAACATTTGGACTATGAACGTCGGAGGCAAAGAAACATGGAGTTGTCATATCCGCTCTTGAAAATACAATAATCATTTGTTAAAAGAGGAATTGGGGGATTTGAATGTTTTGTAACAGGAAAACAACAACCCTCTCTATCTCACATAAGGACATGGAATTGAATATTCATGAGTTCAGTTTCAAATGCACAATAGAAAATGTCAGGGTGAATAAAATCGATTAATCCCTCCATTTATCACCTTTTCTATCACTAAATACGCCCTATTTACTCCGAAAACACGTAGCTAGGCTATTTTTCTCGCAGAGGATGAATAACGCACGTTAGACGTTCGGTGATATAACAAATTCCAGTGATAGGGTGAGAACGTGGTAGTGTTTCGCGCGGTTGGCGGTTGTTCTCGTTGTTACGTCTGTGAGCGCGCCCGGTGTGTGTATGTGTCCTTGACGGTACGACGAGGTGCAGATCATCGCCGGGCACTGTCGGCGGCCCCCCAGCTAGCAGTCAGCACACTCGCATTCGTTTAACAAACCCATTCCTAGCCACAAACTAGTCCATTAAATCCACCACCCTGCACCAAGTTCTGATTCTCATCGATTGATAATCGTTGTCGCAGAAAAATGGCTATGTGCAATATATTTCGGTTAACTCGTCCTAAGAAAAACAAGGTGAGACGAATAAGTCAGCGCGTAAGCCAGAAGAAGTCAGAATGGATAAGTTTTCCTGCTCTAAACAATTTGCTTCAGGTCGAGCAAATGCAAAAGGACGAGCTGGATCAGGTGCTGCAGCGGCTTCAGCTTGAAAATATGGAATTAAAGCGAGAACTGGAACGACGGAAAGCTGCGACTACAAGCACCCCAGATCTGGACAGGTATGCGTCTTTAAGGGACGAAAATTCATTTTCCAATATATTCGGAGATTGATTTGTCATTTCGATGTCACATGCTGTCAAACATAACACAAAGTTGACAGAAACAACTTGAATTCTACGTTATGCAGAGTC